TATATATATATATATTTATTGGATAATTTGATCACTATTTTTCATATGTAATTTTATTTTGAATATGTCAATTTAAATTAAAGTAATTAAATTAAATTTAAAAAGTAAACATTTGAATAAATTAATATCAATTTAAATTAAAGTAACGAAAAAAATCATACAATTAAATTAAATGTAAAAATTAAAAATTCGAAATAATTAATATAATTAAATTAATATTAAAGAAATAATAAAACAAAAAGTCAAAAAGTTTCGTCGCGCAAATATTTGCGCGACATTAATATTCGTCGCGCAAAACTCTAAAAATTTGGGCGGGTACCAAAAATGGGACGCGGGAATTTTTTTTTAAATAAATTTTTTCGTCGCGCAAAGTTTTGCGCGACCAATATTTTTCGTCGCGCAAAGCCGCTTTGCGCGACCAATATGTTTCGTCGCGCAAAGTCGCTTTGCGTGACCAATATGTTTCGTCGCGCAAAGTCACTTTGAGCGACCAATATTTTTTCGTCGCGCAAAGTCTCTTTGAGCGACGAATGAAAAAATTTCGTCGCACAAAGTCTTTCTCCACGATCTTTGCGCGACGGAATCTGCGCGACGAAGTTTCTGTCGCGCTAAAATTTGTGCGACTATAATGTATTTTGCGCGACGAAATTCTCTTCGTCTCGCAAAGTGAAAAATGTAGTAGTGCAGCCATTTGGAGTGCACAATTAGGGACTTCAGCAGCTGCACTCAAAGCTTTATGGACCATCGAGACTCATATATGCGTACCAAAGAAATGAGAGGTACTCTTGATCATAAGATTTAATATATGTTGGATTTCCGTTATACTTGAATGTATACCAATGCATGTGTGATCTCTAATTATGTTGAGATGAAATCAACTAACCATTATATTAATTTTGATTTCAAAAGCTTATTTGCGTGAGTTTTAATTGGAACAATTCTAGTCTTCAATTGGGATAATTAATGATTTCTTTTAAAGTCTTTATATGCAGCTTTATTCTAAAAGCTTTGGTGTGGCAATTTCATACGAACTTAATTGTTTTTCAATGCCTTTGGCATTTGAAGATTTGAATTCAAAATTCATTTGCGTCAGTTATGGTTGACTAATTTCTATTTTGCAATTGCTACTTTGTTTTGTCATTATTTGGTGATTTTATAGCTATTAAGGGCTTGTTTAGGAGTGTTTTTGGAGCAGCGAAAAGCGCTTCTAAATGGGTGAAAGCGCTTCTATATTTTAAAAATGGTGTTTGGCAAAAATTGCAAAAGCGCTTTGGGTGAGATCCAAAAGCACGTGGAGTGCTTTTGGAAGAAGTACTTAAAAGGTGCTTCTTCTTAAAAGTGCTGCTGGACAAAAACACGGGAAACACTTGGCTCCCTTTAATGAAACTTTTAAAATGCAGAAAATACCTATATTTAATTTTTTAAAATACCAAAATACCATCAATAAACAGCTTCAGTTTAGCTTCTTCAGCCTTGAAATATACCAAAAACACAGCAACCCAAGACAGAAAGGAAGGAAAGAAAGAGAAAGGAGCAAGCAACCCAGAAAGACAGAACCCACCCACTTGAGCTTTTCATACAGACAGAGAGACAAAAGACAGAGCTTTTCACACTGTTATGGTGTTTTCCCTTTTGCTTAAATTTATGGCTTGTTTGTATGTTTGTTGCCTCCGTCGCTCACTACTTTCAAATTTCAGCACATATATACTTTCCATATATTTTGATTGAAATTGAATGAAAAGGAAAAAGATAGATGCATTAATGGAAAACATATATGGCTTTGTGAGAGATTATACTGGGAAGGGTTGACAATGCTATAAAGCGCTTTCACTGTGTCAACCAAACACTCAACAAAATATCAAAAGCGCTTTTATGTAGTATAAAAATACTTTTAAGGGAGTTTCACTAAAACACCCAAAATGGAGGTTGAAATTATAAAAAAACCCAACACCCAAAACACTTTATAAACACACCCAAAACCCATCATTACACA